AGGAGAGAGGAATATATAGAAGTATTAGCTGCCAGCATCAGTTAAACTTCATATACACTCTTAAACATTTATAGCAGTTTTGTTACCTAGAAATTATTGATGATTCCAAAAGCAGTTGACTTCTCTAGATTTTTTGGTGGTGGGAGAAATGGGGGGCTGGGATTGTTGAACCATATCATCCTGTTGGGGCAAGCATGCGTCAGCCACAGGGCAAGCACTTAACCCCTCTATCATCTCTTTAGCCCCAACACATGTAGATTTCTTGAGGTGAATATCAAGAGAAGGAGTAGAACCAAACCCTATACAATGGGAGAAAACCCTGCTCACTAGGTCTGCATTGTTTCTCTCTCTTGCATTATTTATATCTTCTGTGGAACAAATGGAGAGGAATAGGGAAAACTGCAAAATCTCTCCCAGTTCTTCTGCTAAACAATTTGAGATTTACTCCTGTTATAAAACCTTGTCTCGGGAAAATCACATAAAATGTTACTATACAGTTGCATTCCTTATAGTAAAATCATGCCAAATCATAGTCTTTGGGGCAGTGCTTAAATGATTTTGTATGATAGATTGACAGTTTGTTTCTGAAACTGGAGATGTGCTAAAAGTACCTGCCACAGGACCTGACACATGGTAACCACTCAGAAGTCACTGAATAAATGTGTGGGAAGAGGGTGTCTAGCTATTGTGTCATATGGAAAGTTTCAGATCAGTAGGGAAAGATACATTCAAAAGAAGCCGCTCCCACCCGGCCTCTGAAAAAGCACAGTAGAAATGACATCTGCACCTGTATGTTCAATGCAGCACAGTTCACAATAGCCAAAATCTGGAAACAGCCCAAGTGCCTGAGAACAGTTGACTGGTTAAAGAAACTTTCTCACATCTACACAATGGAATACTATGCACCTGTTAGGAAAATTGAAGTAATGAAATTTGCTTATGAGTGGATGGTCATGGAGAGTATCATGTTAAGTGAAATGAATCAGAAAGAGAAGGACAGACATAGAATGACTATACTCTTTTGTAGAATATAGAATAACATAATATGAGACTGACACCCAAGGACAGTAGACACAAGGGCCAGGAATATTGCTCCATGTTCGGAAGCCTACCTCATGAGCTGGGGGAGAAGGCAGCTGGAATAAAGAAGGGATCACTAAGTCAATGATGGTTGGAGGGATCATTCAGAATGGGAGATGTGTGCTGAAAGTAGATAAAGGACCAAACATGATAACCTCTCAGTATCTGTATTGCAAACCATAATGTCCAAAAGTAGAGAGTATGAGAGAAATTGTCTGCCACAGAGGCAGGAGGAGGGATGGGATGGTGGCAGGGAGATACTGGGGACATTGGTGGTGGAAAATATGCACTGGCGGAGGGATGGGTGTTCAATCATTGTATGACTTAAACTCAAACATAAAAGCTTTGTAACTTTATCTCATGGTGATTTGATAAAAAAATTTAAAGAAAGAAGCAGTGTACTCATCACCCAGCTTGAATAATTATTAACCCATGATCAGTTTTGTTTATTTGGGTATGTGGGGCCATACTCAAGAGCTGCTCCTAGCTCTGTGCTCAGGAGTGGCCCTTAGTTGTGCTTGGTATATGTGTTGCCAGGAAGCCAAAGGGATTAACTGCATGCAAGGGAAAGCACCTTAATGCCTGTACTGTCTTCTGCTTAGTCTTGTTTCAGCTAAACTCCACCTACTTTTCCTTTCCTATGTTATTTTTAAATGCTGGCATTATTTTATTTGTGAACATTTTAATGTCTATAAAGGTCGCCACTCTTCCTTAAACATTACTGTAGATCGAATGGGAAAGGATATTCGCCGAATACACATCTGACAAGGGGTTGATATCAAGGATATACAAAGTACTGGTTGAACTCCACAAGAAGAAAACATCCAACCCCGTCCAAAAATGGGGCAATGAAATGAACAGAAACTTTCTCAAAGAAGAAATCCGAATGGCAAAAAAGCACATGAGAAAACGCTCTACATCATTAATCATCAGGGAGATGCAGATCAAAACCACAATGAGATACCATCTCACACCTCAGAGACTGGCCCACATTCAAAAGAACAAAAGCAACCGATGCTGGCGCGGATGTGGCGAGAAAGGGACACTCCTTCACTGTTGGTGGGAATGCCAACTGGTTCAACCCTTTTGGAAAACAGTATGAACGATTCTCAAAAAATTAGAAATTGAGCTCCCATTTGACCCAGCAATACCACTCCTGGGATTATATCCCAGAGAGGCAAAAATGTATAGTCGAAGTGACATCTGCACTTGTTTGTTCATTGCAGCACTCTTTACAATAGCCAGTAACTGGAAGAAACCTGAGTGCCCAAGAACAGATGACTGGTTAAAGAAACTTTGGTACATCTACACAATGGAGTACTATGTAGCTCTTAGAAAAGATGAAGTCATGAAATTTACATACAAGTGGTACAACATGGAAAGTATCATGCTAAGCGAAATGAGTCAGAGAGAGAGGGATAGACATAGAAAGATTGCATTTATCTGGGGGATATAAAGTAACAAAATATGAGACTAATACCCAAGAATAGCTGAGATCAGCACCAGGAGGATTACTCCATAGCTTAGAGGCCAGCCAGGCATTCTAGGGGAAAGGGCAGCTCAGATAGAGAAGGGAGCATCAAATAAAGTGTGTTTGGAGGATCCTCCCAGGAGGGGAGACGCATGTTGAAAGTAGACTATGGACTGAACATGTTTGCCACTCAGTGCCTCTTTTGCAGACCACAACACCCAAAAGGAGAGAGAGAATAAAAGGGAATGCCCTGCCACAGAGGCAGGGTGGGATGGGGGGGTGGGGGTGGGAGGGATATTATCCATGGTGGTGGAAAATGGGCACTGATGGAGGGATGGGTATTTTATCATTGTATAATCGAAACCCAAGCACAAAAAATTGTAAATCTAAAAAAAAAAAAGAGTTGCTACTGATTAGATAACAAAACTCCATTGTTAAAATAAATGAGTATAAAAATAAAAAAAATTACTGTAGATCATTTTCACACCTAAAAATGTGAAACAATTCCTCACTGGATTGGGTATCCTGTCCATCTTCAAATTGTCATTAATTGTCATATAAATACTTTGTATTCATTTGCATCACTACTCAAAAAAGGTGTACAGCTTGTGATTATTTGATAATGTTGATATTCTTATAAGTTATTAAATATTTAACTATTCTTAACCTTTATATTTTAATCATATTCTTTTTATTTTCTCCTTACTTATTTGGGGTTGGGGATATGGCCACACCCACTTCTCAGAGATCACTCTTGGTGGGCTCTGGGGACCATATGGGGTGCCAGGGGTCAAACACTGGTCAGGCACATGCAAGAAAGTGCCCTACCCACTGTACTATCTCTCTCCTTATTAAGGACACAGGGCTATTTCCCACATGCTGGCAGCATTTCCTATAGTTTGGAGTTTACTGATTATATTCTAAGTGTTGCTTATGTTCGCTGTCTCCTGTATTTCCTGTAAACGGGTTGTTGGCTTGATTAGATTCAGTTTTCTTTTTGGCAAGTCCAGAGAAACGGGAATGGCCAAATCATTATGACAACACTATTGGCTTTTGCTCAGTGCTTTTTACAGATTGATTTACTAACATTTGTTGAGTGTTGTCTAAGAGCCTAATCAATGTACTTGTGTTCTATAGGCTTTATGTCATTAAATCATATTTAAGCCCCACTGTAGTCGTAAATATCTATTTCTTTCTGAAGAGCTCTTATTAAGAACAAGCAATCTTAAATGTCCTTCAAACAGACCCCTTGGTATATACTGCAGTGTCTGGTATGTGATTTCATTTGAAATTATTTTCAAATTTTATCATTGAGCTGTCCTCAGACTTCTTGGTGCTGGGTTCACCCTTTGTTAACTTCCAGACAGACACCTCAACTTCAAGCAGTGCCAGCGGAATTCAGAGTTTCCTGAGTTTCTTTTCCCTTGGCACATATTGTCTTCTGCAGGTGCACGCTGCCTCTTTCATCTCTTTCTGCTTTCTTTGCATGTTCCCAGTGCTCACAGTGTCCTACTGTTGCCCAGTGTGAGAAACTGGCTTCTGACTGTAAGAGCAAAACCAGCTTCTCATTGTTTCACGTATTTTTTCATTTATTCTGCTCAATTCTTGCTGTAGTCCTGAATCATACTGTTTATAGAGGCATGGGAGCTCCAGACTTACAAAATAAATGCTAAATTATCTTGACCTCCGGGCACTTTTGAAGCTTAAACCTTTTAATTATGTGGTTGATGAAGAAAAAGCACCAAGTGGTCCAAATTGCAATTAGATATCAGAGCACCGAGTGCCAAAACAATATAGAGAGGAGCCTATTGTGTGGCTTTACAAGCTGACATGCAAGGACTCAAAAATGGGCGCTTTTTATTCTTTATCTCAACGCTTTCTCAATCATTTTTCCTTTAATACTTACAACATTCTCTTCAAGTTTCTAGTGTATTAGGTGAAGCATTTGGTTGCTTGAATAAAAGGAGCATAAAACTTTGGTACATACAATAGAGAAATAGGAATGAAGGTGAGGTTTAATAATTATTCTGGCTGTGCCTCACTGTGAGACATTTTAACCAAATTAATTCTATCTTGATAAAGAACCTTCGTATTATTCTCTGAAACTCACAGGAAACAGAGATCATGTCTCTCTACCTGATCATCCAGAGCCCTCCAGGGAGTTTGGTGCACGTGCTTCTAAATAAGTAGCTTTCCATGCTGGTGGTTTTTGAAAATTTATACATTTTAAAGGGTATTTTGTTCCCTTTTTCCTTGGCAGGACCAAAGCGCTTCCTCTTCTAAGGCCAGTGCTGTTTGGACTCAGTCAAAGTACACTTTGTTCTAGGAGAATTGCCATATGAGCCTAGAATATATATTGAGTCCTTCCAAGAAGGGAAACCATGTTCTCAGACTGTGGATGCTGACTTGGTGCTGAATGAATGATTATTATGTGCTCTTTTGCTCACAGGCTCGCTTCTCTTATGTGCGGATGAAATACCTCTTCTTTTCCTGGTTGGTGGTTTTTGTTGGAAGCTGGATTATATATGTGCAATATTCTACCTATACAGAACTATGCAGAGGAAAGGACTGTAAGAAAATAATAGTAAGTATTTTATACTTTTAGTATATGGAAAAACCTGTGTTAATAGGTTACAGTAATACTATATAATACTTATTTCATACACTAATAATTATTTTTGAAAAGTCATTTGTCCTTAGCATTGTATTAAATTTCTTAGCATTTTGATATAGCAAGCTACCTGTGATTTATTAAGCTGCCCGTGACGTATCCGTATGCCAAAAACAGTAGCAACAAGTCTCACAATGAAGACATCACTGGAGACTGCTTGAGCAAATTGATGAACAATGGGAGGACAGTGCTTTGATATAGCAAAGTTAGTAGAAGTGTTGATGCGGAAAAATCCAGTATTCAGAAATCTAAATATATAATGCAGACTAGTGTGAGAGCAGTATTATTACCAAAAAAGGGAATGTTTGTTTCTCAAACTTCACATGTTTACTGTACTCTAATCAGTTGGATTATTAAGAGTTTAGAGTATATAGGTGTTTCTTATAAATTGTTTAAAACATATCCTTGGGATAAACGGGATCATTTATTGAATACCAAAACTTTATCTAAAATTATGTATGTATATTTGTTATTTCATTTCTAGCCTAATGCTTGGGTATATGCCTGGAAAGTCACTCTATCAGTCCAAGATTTCCAGTAGTAATTGACTCCCTGCATGTGTATTTTAAATGTTTGAGGATAAGTCAGCTTAACTTCTTACTTTCGGCTAATATCATGATGTAAATAATATTAAAATGTTTCATCTCAGAATTACATTTTTGATAATAATGATTGTGAGAGTTCCAGAGATTATAATTTATTAATAATCCTGCAGTTATTAGGCGGGCCTCTCCAGGCTGGGGGACTGGGAGTGAGCAGGTCACAGAGAATGAGATGCCTGAACATAGGAACCTAGAGTGAAGTAATGAATAATTACAGTCAGATAGGGTAAACATTACAATAAAAGGTGTTATAATAGGAACATGAGATGGAGACGCCTGAAAATAGAAAACAGGCCAGGGATATGGCTCAGGGGCTTTGCTTATGGGAGCCCATAGCCACTGTCTCAAGTACTGCTGGGAGTGACCCTCTGGTCTTACTCCTGGTTCTGGGATTGGGGCACTCAGGGATCGGGGGACCATATGGAATGTTGGGGATTGACTTTGGTTTGGCCATGTACAAGGCAAGTGCCTTCCCTGCTGTGCTGTCTCTCTAGCACCTCAAGATCCTTAATGTGCATTATATGTCTCCAGAAAAATTAATATACCTAATAAGAATAGTAAACTCATTTTTACCATAGCTGTCAGAGAGAGACTTGTTTATATGATCTGGTGATGTGAGAAATACTGTTTTAGGAAAAAATATCAAAATGAATATGCTTTTAAATATTTCATATTGAACCAGAGACATAGTATAGCAGGGAAGGTACTTGCCTTATGTGTAGACAACCCAGATTCAATTGCTGGCACCTCATATGGTCCCTTGATCCCCTCCAGGAGTGATTCCTGAACGCAGAACCAGGAGTAAACCCTGAGCACAGCTGGATGTAGCCCCAAAACAACAATAACAACAACAAATTTTGTCATCTTACTACAATAAAGTTTAGAATGCAAGGAATATGGTGATAGTTTAAGTAGCTCATTCTCTGTCACTGTCCTCCAACTGTTCATCGATTTGCTCGAGCGGGCCCAGTATTATTTTTCTTTAGTTTTTTTTAAATTTCAAGAGAATGGAAGCAGAACACAACTTAGCATCATTTAATGGTTATCTTACTTGGAAATACTTTTTTTATGAAAAATTTATTTAAAATTTATTATTTTTCCAGACTTTTTTTTTTTTAGAAAAACCTTAGTTTTTTGAGATAGCTTTCAAAAATTATTTATTTTTTGGCATTTTGGGTCATACCTGGTAGTGCTCAGGGGTTACTCCGTAGGCTGACCACTCAGGAATCATTCCTGATGGTGCTCAGGGGACCATATTGAATGCTGGGGATCAAATCCACATCAGCTGCATGCATTCAAACACCCTACCCACTGTACTATTGCTCTGGCTCCGAGATAACTTTGTATTGGAAAGCGGGAGTTCTATCCTTATACCGCAAGGAATAGCACCTGCAACCCCAGCACCACCTGTGTGGCTCAGACGCCAAAACAAAACAAGATCATAGCATCTCTGCATTTGGAACTCTGTTCTTAAAACATCGAAACTAATAGTACTGAGGATTGAATGGGTATTGTGTGATTAGAACTAAAAACAAGGAGCAAAAATATTTTAAATATCTTGTAATGCTTCCAAGAACTAACAATGTCACTGGCAGTCGGGCACAGCCCTGATTCCTCAGTTCCTGTCTTCTAGAGGAAAGAAATGCAGCCAAGAGATGCCAGACAAGATTAAGTGGCAGAGTTTGCAAAGCAAAAGTATACTCTGAGCGGGAGAGGGGAGCAGCCCACTGGTTTAGGTCAGGGCATTTTTTATGAGGCTTAGGTCCTGGCCTCCTCCCTCTCCTCCTGCTCCTCCCTTGCTGCATTTCTGTCTCCCTAGTCACTACCAAATAGTTATTGTACAGTGTAATGGCAAATAGGAAGTCATGAGTACACAGGGCCTTCAAAATAGGGAAGTCTCATAGCCCGGGTAAGTTTTCTGTTTGTTTGTTTGGTTTGGTTTTGGGGCCACACACAGAGATTCTTAGGGGTTACTCCTGGCCCTGTACTCAGGAATTACTCCTGGCAGTGATTGGGAAACCCTATGGGATGCCAGGGATCAAACCTGGACCAGCAGTTTGAAAGGTAAACATCCTACCCATTGTATATTGCTCCAGCCCCAGCCCAAGTAGTTCTCATTTTCCTGGCTGCTCCATTGGTGAGATTTCTTTTCTCCCTCCCTTCCTCCTACCCTCCTTCCCTCCCTCCCTCCCTCCCTTCCTTTCTTTTTGTTTTCATTTTGGGCTATCCCCTGCTATTCCTGGTTCTGCACTCAGGGATCACTCAGGGGACCATATGCAGTGCTGGGGACCAAACCCAGATAGGCTGCATGCTAGGTAAGAGCCTTAACCCCTATACTATACTATTTCTCCCACTTTCTCCAAAATCAGAGAGATTTCTAAAATGAAGTTCCCAGGGGGTACAGTGTCCCCAATAAGTGTACCTATACCTGTGGGACCTAATGGTGCCTTCAGGCTTCCTGATACTCCAGAATTGCTGCTATGTCTCTGGCTGGAGCCCAACAACTTGGGACCAAGTTCTCCAAGAAATTAAATGGCCAAAAGTTAGGTATGTGGGAACCACACTCACAAACCACCACTATCTCAATTATATGAGCTCATTTATCAGCCTTGCTTCAGAGACTATAAATAAAGCTCAAAAGAGATCAAAAGCCACAGTTAATCTTGGACCCTTGCAAGACTACCAGACCAGGGTAAATCAGAGGGATGCTGGTTAGCCTGGTGCCCACCCAAGCAGAGCTGCTGGCAGCTGCTTGCTCCCACAATCCAAAATCACTGCCATAACCCTGGCCATACTCTACCACCTCAGGCCAGACCTCACTAAGATATTAACCTGTTGAAAATTTGGATATGCGGGTTTTTTGGCTGAAATTGTGAGGTTTTCTCGGAGTTGGGTGGACTGCCTCCTCTCACTTCCCTGTGCTCTTGGAAGCACCAGTGGTCATCCCCCTGAATCAAGTCTAGTGCCACCATGTAAGCTCTTCTACTGGCCTTGCTTCAGAGACCCATAAATCTCGAAAGAGATCAGAAGCCGTAGTTAATCTCGGACATGCACAAGGCCGAAGAGACCAAGGTAGATGGGAAATGGGGTAAGCCTGGAGCCTCTGGCAGCCGCTTGCTTCCACAACCTCATGGTGTCTCACTAATAAAAAAAAAAGAAAAGAAAAAGAAAAAAGAAAAGAAATTGCTGCCATGCCTGACTCCACTGTCTCTGGACAGACCTCATCAAGATATAATCTGTCAAAAATTCAGGTATGTGTGTTTTCTGACTGAAATCTGCAGGCTTCCTCAGGTTTGGGATGAATGCCTGGCCCCCCACCTCCCACTTCCGGAAGCCTCAGCAGTCACATATACACCCCAAAGCTGCACCTAGTTAAAAAGCTACTCCAGCCTTACCATCTCAATAAAAATTATGAGTGCCAAACACGAGATGACCCCTTAGTACCTGTATTGCAAATCATAATGCACAAAAGGAAAAGGAGTAACAGAGAAAGAAGAAAAGTGCCTGCCATAGAGGGAAGCTGGGGGTGGGGGATGGTGGGGGGGAAATGGGGGACATTGCTGGTAGGAAATATACACGAGTGGAGGGATGGGTGTTGGATCATTGTATGACTGAAACCCAATCATGAACAGCTTTGTAATGGTCTGTCTCATGAATGGACTGGAGCGATAGCACAGCAGGTAGGGCATTTGCCTTGCACGCAGCTGACCCTGGTTCAGTTCCTCCGTCTCTCTCGGAGAGCCTGGCAAGCTACCAAGAGTATCCCGCCCACATGGCAGAGCCTGGCAAGCTCCCTGTGGCATATTCATATGCCAAAACAGTAACAAGTCTCACAATGGAGACGTTACTGGTGCCTGCTCGAGCAAATCGATGAAAAACAGGAGGACAGTGCTACAGTGCTACATCTCATGGATATTCAGTAAAAAAATTAAAAAAATAAAGAATAATGTGGAGTCATGACTGGTTCAGTTAGTGTAATCAGTGACTTAATAAATAGCAATACCCCTACATTTAAAATTTTTTTTTAAATTTAATTTAAAAAAATTAAAAAGTTTAAAAATAAAATGAAGTTTCCACTTGTGGAATGGTGTACAGGATGGGCTGTGGATGGGTTAATAGCTCTTTCCTCCCTCCTTCCCATATCTATCTCACTGCCTCTTTACAGCAAAAGAATAAAAAGTTCTGATCAGGCACTTGCCTTGCATGTAGCTGACCTGGTCAATTTCTCACACCCAAACCCTGCCAGGTTTGTTCTCTGAGCATACAACCAGGAATAAGCTCTGAATACCACTAAGGATGGTCCCAAAACAA